CGGTCCAGTTCAGTTCAGATGGGGACTGGAACGATAGGAAAATCCCGTGAGTGTTCCATCTTGAGTGGATCGTTGAGCCAGGAATTGATGAAGTGCTCAGTTATTGATGGATCTAAAACGGAAACACCCGTATCGCACCCTGGCCCAACCAGTTAATGCCCACGTTTCCTGCCCTAGCAGTCCCTGCTGTGGCAGTCACGTGAAGTAAGCAAAGGATAGGAAGAGAAATCGAAGGTACAGAATAGGGAAGTGCACTTAAATAAGAAAATAATACCAATACGTGAAGAAAAGTAGAGAAAAGGAAATCGAAGTACGAAGATGTGAGTTACTCAGGAAAATGGAAAGGTTTCGTGTTGCCACCCAAGAGCGTCAAGTTGCCGCTCAAACCCCTTAACCGTAGATTCCCTGATAACACTTTCCGGAAGCATGTTCCAGCGGTCGATAACTCGGCGTGACAGCCGGATTTCCGCCCTAATCCGATCGGACCGCGGTTTGTCCAGCTTCAACGAATGACCGCGTAGAACAGACAATCTAGCGGGACTGAATAGCCAAGACAAATCTGGACCAACCTTCCAGTCAAGATACGGTAGGTTAGGATTAGGTCTCCTCTAAGCCTTCGGTAGTGCATTGAATGCATTCCCAAACTAAGTAGACGCTCGGGGTACGTCCGTCCCCGTAATCCCTCGACTAACCTAGTACCCACTCGTAAAACCCTCTCTAGCTCCATTTTGTCCCGGACGAGGCAGGGCGGACAAGCCTGGACGCAGTATTCCAGATGAGGGCGAACGAAAGCCGAGAACAGCCACGTAAAGATGCCGCCCGTCAAGACTCCGAAGAACGTCGTATTAACTACAACATGCATAAACCTCTGCTTGCGGCCCTTTTCAAGTTGTCGCCGGAGTGCAACGCCGAAGAGTGTACGACGCCTAGGTCAACCTGGCTAGATACACGGGGGAGTTCGACCCCACCGACCAAGTACTTCGCAGGAGGACAACCTCCTCCAATTCGAAGAACGGAGCACTTTGCCTGATTTATGGGCAGTAACCATAAAGTAGACCAGTCCCAAAAGCTTATCCAATGCTCGCTGAATAGCTTCGGAACCCCCAGGAACATCAACAATGTTCCACAGCTTCAGGTCATCAGCAAATAAGCAGCGATGGTACCTCAAGCTCCGTGGGTAGGTCGTTCACATAGATAGAGAACAACAGCGGTCAAAGGACCGAGCCCTGCGGCACGCCGCTGAGGACAGACTGCCTAAATGACAGACCCCGGCCTACCCGTACACATTGTTCTCTACCCCTCCAAGAAGGCAGTCACCCAATGAAGGGCGCGGCCAGATACCCCGTAGGAGGACAGCTTTGGCGCGAGCCTCAAATGGGGTACCTTGTCAAATGCCTTCGAAAAGTCGACGAAAAGCACGTCCAGCGAGTGGTCGTTATCCACTGCATCCCCCCAATTTTCGCGAGTACCAAACCGATTCGTCCGACACGAAAATCCCTTCCGGAATCAGTGTTGTACATTGCTAAGTAGATTTAATCTACCCAGATGACTCTCCAATGAATCTCTCACCAGTTTCTCGAGAAGTTTGACTACTACACTCGTCAGACTAACTAGCCTGTAAATTTGCAGGCAGACCCCTGTCCCCATGTTTGAAGATAGGACAGATGACAGCTTCCTTCCATTCGGAAGGCAATGCACAACTGTCAAGCGATTTCTGAAACACAATAGCGAGCGGTCCACTTAGTTCCGCAGCCAACTCATGCAACAGTTTCGGGTGAATTAAATCAGGCCCAGAGGCCTTAGAAGGGTTCAGCCCTTGTAACAGCCTACGAACTGCAGTCTCCGCTACAATAAATTCAGATAGTTCTGAACCCTCTGGGTCCTGCAAACCAGCTCAACGCCTGTCAAAGAGGTTTCCCTTACAAACGCTGCCGCATATTGCCCACTGAGTACGCAGGCCTTGTCATAATCCGTATGCGCATGAGTACCGTCATCACGCATCAATACTGGAATTGACATGTTCGAACCGCAGCGCCTTTTGACATAAGCGAAGAATCTTTTTGGATTCTCTGAAGCTTCGTCCGCTAACCCTTTTTCAAAATTGAGCCCAGCATCCCTTAGGTGTTGCTTACACCTATTTCTAGCCTTACGGTACCTGTCATAAGTATCGGTGGACGGAGCATCTCGGTAAGTCCGCCAACATCTAGACCTCTTTGTGAGCAGATGCCTGCCAGTGGGATCTATCCAGCGCGGCTGTGCTCGGGCCTCCTTTCTCCTTGTGACTGGGATGAAGGGAGCAGAGACCTCTGTGAGGTAGGACTTAAATTTATCCCAGGCAACCTGGACAGTGTCGTCGTCTGAGATCTCACAATGGAAACCAGAAGCCTTGGCTCTCATTGATTGATAGTCTGCTTGCCATATGTTCGGGCGAGACTCAACAGTACTCTGGTAGCGTCTAGACAGAGTACATTTAAGAGCAAACAAACATGATCACCTGGAAACCAGTGGACCCGCGGCCCTCCCCGTACGTAATTGTCCACCAACCAAATCGAGTGACCTTAGCGAATACAAGGTCTAAGACTAGACGGTACTTGGGCGTCCATGTACCTAGTGTGGGAGGTCAATGAACTGGTGCAAAAATACTTGGAGCGTAAGTTCAAGCAGATCAGCGCCGAATGTGCCTGACGCTGAGTCGCAAGAAAGATCTGTCCAACAAACCTCTG